GACACAGAAAGCGGAAGTGAGTCAGAAAGAGAGAGAGAAAGAGAGAGATAGATAGATAGATAGATAGATAGATAGAGAGAGAGAGAGAGAGAGAGAGAGAGAGAGAGAGAGAGAGAGAGAGAGAGAGAGAGAGAGAGAGAGAGAGAGAGAGAGATTCTGAAAACAATGATAAAGAGAGAGTCTGAAAGAAAGGGTGAAAGAGGGAGAGGCAGAGAGACTGAGAGAGTCTAAAGAAAATGAGAGAGAGAAAGGGTGATAGAAAAAATGACAGAGAGAAAGAGTGAATCCGAAAGAAAGGATGAGTAAATCTGGGATAGAGAAAAAACAAACAAATAGACGTCTCCTCCTCGTTTCTCTCTCGTCCTCCTCGCTTTTCCCTCTCCTCCTCCTTCTCACTTTTCTCTCTCTCTTCCTCCACCTCGCTTCTTTCTCTTCCTCCTCCACCTCGTTTCTTTCTCTCTCTTCCTCCTCCTCGCTTTTCCCTCTTTCTTCCTCCTCCTCCTCGCTTCTCTCTCTCTTTCTCCTCCTCCTCGCTTTTCTCTCTTCCTCCTCCTCCTCGCTTTTCCCTCTCTCTTCCTCCTCCTCCTCGCTTCTCTCTCTTCCTCCTCGCTTCTATCTCTCTTCCTCCTCCTCCTCTCTCTCTCTCCTCCTCCTCTTCCTCGCTTCTCTCTCTCTTCCTCCTCCTCACTTTTTCCTCTCTCTTCCTCTTCCCCCTCCTCACTTTTCTCTCTCCATTCCTCCTCCTCCTTCCATCCCGCTTCATTTCCAAGCAATGTCGCAATTACACTTCACACCATTATCAGTCTCCATTTAGCCTTTACCTGTCACTTCTATGCCAGTTTCAGCCAACATCAACGAGCGATCAGGCCTTTCCTCGCGGCCGAAGAGTCAGCACTATTATGCAATGTGGGTGACATATGCTATGGATATCAGGGGAATATGTAAGAAAAGGGGAAGAGGGGGAGGTAGAGGGGGAGGAAGAAGAAGAAGGAGAAGAGGTAGAGGAATAGGAAGAAGAGGAAGAGGGAGAAGAAAGAGAAGAAGGAGAAGAAGAATAAGAAGAAGGAGAGGAAGAAGAAGAAGAAAAAGGAGGAGAAGAAGAAGAGGAAGAAGAGGAGAACTGAGAAGAAGAAGAGGTAGAGGTAGAGGAAGAGGAAGAGGAAGAAGAAGAAGAAGAAGAAGAAGAAGAGGTAGAGGAAGAGGAAGAGGAAGAGGAAGAAGAAGAAAATGAAGAAGAAGAAGAGTTAGAGGAAGAGGAAGAAGAAGAGGAAGAAGAAGAGGAAGAAGAAGAGGAAGAAGAAGAGGAAGAGGAAGAAAGGGAAGAGGAGGAAGATTGTGGTGACGTAGAAGGAAAGGGCGATAAAAAAAGACGATGGTGATGATGATGATAATGAAGATGAAGATGATGATGAAGATGGTAATGAATAATAATGATAATGATGAGGAAGAAGGAGAAAGAAAAACAAAGGAAACAAACAACGAAAGAAGAATAAGAAAATCAGAGAGGAGACGACAAAAAAATAAAATAAAATAAAATATACGATAAAACTAGAGAGAGAGAGAGAAAAAAAAAATCTGGCACACCCAATACCCTGAGCATACCTCGGCGACAGTGAGAGACCCGACAGACAGGGAGGTACCCATGAGTAAAGTACCCGATAACAGGGTACACTGAGATGGTATTGGCTTTGGTTGTAAGATATAGTGCTTTGGTTGTGTTGTATTGTGATGGGTTGTGACTGAGTATGGTGATACGTTGCGGGTATGGTGACTTTTTGATAGATATAATGATACGTAGCGAGTCGGGTGTATGGTGACTTGTGGCATGGATATAGGATACGTAACGGGTTGGGTGTATGGTGACTTTTGACAGGTATAGTGATACGTAGCGAGTCGGGTGTATGGTGCCTTGTGACATAGATATAGTGATACGTAGCGGGTCGGGTGTATGGTGACTTGTGACAGATATAGTGATACGCAGCGGGGCGGGTGTATGGTGACTTTTGACAGATATAGTGATACGTAACGGGTCGGGTATATGGTGATAGGTTGTGTATAGTGACGTGAAGATTTGAGGTGTGGTGGTGTGCTTTTGTGTCATGTGGTGGTGGTGTATGGTGACTTGCGACACGTATGGTGACAAGGGGTTGTCATTTACGGTGATAGGTTGTTAATTGTGAAGTGGATTTTGTTATAGTGTGGGTTGTGAAGTGTGGTTCTGGAATGACAAGTTGTGATGTATGGTGATAAATATTGTAAGAAACTGTGTTGTGTATGGTGACTCTTTATGTGTTAAATACACGATGGTATATTATATGAAGTATGGTGACATGCTGGTTGTAATATATACGTGGTGGCAGGCCGTGTTTCGTTATATATATTGATATGCAACGGTTTGGACAGTACCACAAGTTATGAATTATTGCAGAATGTGGGTTTATGTATGGTGATAGACAGGTTGCACTGTATGCTTGATTGTGGAGTTTAATGTACAGGGAAAACTTAAATGTTGTGAAGACAGACGGACTTTAACGGTAGAAACTCACTTTTAAGAGTTAAAAAACGGTTGTTATTGTGTTTTGATAAATTATTCCTAAAAAAATGATTTATTAACGAATTTATTGATTCTAATAATTAATAAATAAACTATTCTAATAGTATTTTGGTAAAATATTCGAATAAACTGATAAAATATTCGAATAAACTGATAAAATATTCTGACAATTAATCCTGAAAAGAATTCCTGACGTTAATAAAGGGAAAATGGAACAGTTTGAGCGTAAATGAGGGCGACCCACAACCACGGATAAAACTCGTCTGAAACATGCTTCGAATTCAGCTTCGAACTGCTAGATTATGTGGCTTGTTGGCTAGGTTTGGAGGGATTCGGAGCTTCATTCATGGTGCGCGAATTTGGTACGTGACTGTGCGGATTGCAAGTGGCTTCTGAGAGGGAAAGTGAGCGAGAGGGAGGGAGGTAGAGGGAGCGAGAGAGATGGAGAGGAAAGGAGGGAATAGGGGGGGTGAGGATGAGAGGGAGGGAGGGAGAAGGAGAAGTGGGAGGGAGGGAGAGAGATGGAGAGGAAAGAAGGGGATAGGGGAAAGGATGAGGATGAGAGGGAGGGAGGAGATGAAGAGGAAAAGAGGAAGGCAGGAAGGAAAATGGAGAGAAAGAGGGAAGGAAGGAGATGGAGAAGAGGTAAGAGGAAGGGAAGAAGATCGAGAGAAAGACGGAAGGAAGGAGATGGAGATGGAGAAGGAGGAAGGACCATAGGGAGGGAAGAAAGAGGGAGAGGAAAGGAAGGAAGGAGACGGAGAAGGGGGAGGGAGGGAAGTAGAGAGAGTAGAAAGGAAGAAAGGAGGAGATGAGAGGAAGGAAGGAGAGGAAATGAGGGAAGGAAAAGGAAGAAGTAAGGATTAAAAGAATGCGAAAGCAAGGGAGAGGGAAGGGAAGGGAGAGGAGGGAGGGAGGAAATAGAGAGAAGAAACGAAAGAGGAAGGGACGAAGAGATAATAAGGAGGGAGGCAAAGGCAAAAGAGAAAAGCGAAAGGACCAGATAAAAGGAGACATAAATTACAAAATTTAAGAGTAAAAAGAGAAATACAAAAGCGCGAAAGAGAAAAATAAAATGAAATAAAGAATAGAAAATCCTCACGCGCCAAAAATAGCCGAAAAGACCTGCAGCCGGTGATGACGACAGCCCCCCCCCCTTCCCTTCCCCCTCCACTCCCCCCCGTCCAAGCACCTGGTAAGACCCTTTCCTCCCCCCCATCCCACCCCCACCCCCACTCACGGCTCCTACCTCCTTCCCCCACATCTCCCCTCCCCCTCCCCCTTCCCAAACACGTGGTAAGACCCCCCTAACCTCCCCATGGATCTCCCCCTCCTCCTCCTCCCCCTCTCCCCCCTAGGAGCCCAACTCCCCCCCCCCACCCTCACCCCTACCCACAGTACCCTTCCTTCCCCTTACCCCACCCACGGGCTCTCATCACCTCCCCCCACCCACCCCCACCCCCCTCTTCCTACCCCATAAGCACCAGGTAACACCCACACCCCTCACCCGCCCACCCCTTCACCCCCCCACCCCCCACACTCACCCCGGCTTCAACTCAGACAACCTGCTTCGCTTACGTCCGCGTTCTGACGGTCACATGCGGAGGGCTGACCTATGGCACTGTGCCACATATGAGGGCGAGTGACAAGCCCCCTTTTTTTTCTCTCTCTCTCGCTCTCTTTTCCTCGATTCTCACTTACATCTATTCTTTTAATTCCGTTTTTAATCCTTTCGTGGGACTTCAGGTACAGGTTGACGAAGATACTGTTATGCAAACTCACCGGATAAAAAATATATATATATATAGCGACGATCTGAAGGGTGATATACATGCTGGTGGTTCGTCATTACTTGAAGGGTCATTAGTTTAATCAACATCGTATTTCAAGCGGAGATACTGTGTGTATGTGTCCTGTATGTGTCCAGCCTGCAAGCGTGCAGTGCCAAGCAAAGGAGGCACTGACCTCAAGATGTTGGTAATCGATGTAACTCGGTTTTGACGGGGAATAAATATCATCATGATTGAAGTCTAACACGCAAGTTGGAAAAGGTGTAAACTCCCACAGAAAGAAATAATAAAAAGAAAAGAAAAGAAAGAAAGAAAGAAAGAAAACAATATTATCCTTTATTTATTTATTTATTTATTCTAAGTTTACGATCAGGAATGGAAACCATGAAAAAAATATTATAACATTCCTTAACTACAACGTCACTTGCAGAATCTCAGAATTAGGTGAAGATTTACTCCGTAAGTTTGTTTAAAGGGAAGAGAAAACGGACCTCCCCAAGGTCTTCATAGGAAAGGGAATTATTAATAGAAGTCCTAAACACTTGCCTGTGTGAGAGGCCGCCCTTCACCAACGACCTGTAAGCAACGTTGGCACACATACGGCGTCTCTCTCTCTCCCTCTGCGCTTCTCTCATCTCACTTTTTTTTTCTCCTTTTTACCGTCTTGCTAAGATTCGAGCTTCTGTTTCCTCGGTCAACTCATAGATGGCGCTGAGGGCGGTTTTCATTATGATTATTTGTTAACTGCTATGTCGATGGTGTGTGGTAGTGGTGTTTATTAAAATAAAAAGAAATGTTTATCTGATTTTAAGACGACGGGGGAAAGTTGCTTGTGTTTTTTTGGGTATCGGTCGATAGATGGCACTAGTGTTTCGTTATGTATGAAGAATAAGAAAAAAAGGAAAAGGAAAATAAGGATAAAGGAATAGGAGGAGTATGTAGAGGAAGACGATGATTATCCGCCCCTCCTTCTTCTTTTCAGCTCATTCCTTTTGTCTGTCTATTTGTCTATCTGTCTCTGTCTGTCTATCTGCTTCTGTCAATCTCTCTCTCTCTCTCTCTCTCTCTCTCGCTCTCTCTCTCTCTCTCTCTCTCTCTCTCTCTCTCTCTCTCTCTCTCTCTCTCTCTCTCTCTCTCTCTCTCTCTCTCTCTCTCTTCTCTCTCTCTCACTCCCTCCCCCCTCCCCCCCCCCCTCTCTTCCTCCCTCCCTCCTTCTCTCTTCATCAGCCTCCCCCCCCCCCCCCACCACCACCACGTGCATCATTATACCCCAGGCCCCCGGAGTGCCATTTCACGTGATGGCCTAGTTGGCTCATGTGGCACTCTCCCCCTACCGTAATCTCCCCTCCTCCTCCTCCTCCTCTTCGTCCTCCTCCTCCTCCTCCTCCTCCTCCTCTTCGTCCTCCTCCTCCTCCTCCTCCTCCTCCTCCTCCCACTTCTCTTCGTCCTCTTCGTCCTCTTTCTCCTCTTCGTCCTTCTCCTCCTCCTCCTCCTCTTCGTCCTCTTCTTCTTCCTCCCCTCCTCCTCTTCGTCCTCTTTTTCCTCCCCCTGTTTCTCCTTCTCCTTCTCCTTGTGTGAGTTTGTTTTTCTATCTCCCCGTTTTCTTCCTCTTTAATCTCTCTCTCGTCCTCCTTCCTCTTCTCATCTTTCCCTTCCCTCCCTGTTTTATCCTCATTTCTCCTCCTCCCTCTTTCCCCTTTCTCCTCCTTCATCCCTTCCCAACTATCTCCTTCTCCACACCTTCTCCTTCTCCTTCTCCTTTCCCCTCCTTCATTCCCCATCTGCTATCCCCTCTCCATTCTTCTTTTCCTCTCCTTTCTTTCTCTCTCTCTTTCTTTCTTGTCTTTCTTTCTATTTTTTTTTCAGGTATTTTCTACGCTTTCCTCACCAATACCTTGATTTTTCCTCTTTGTTATTAATTTTCCTCGTTTTTTATTTATTTATTTATTTTATATTTACTGTTCTCTCTTTTTTCTTTCTTTCTCTTTTTTATATATTTTATGAAGTCGTGTACCATGGCATTTCTTAATATATTACCTGTGTCATGCATTCTTTGCGCCTTATGTCATGCATTCTTCTCAAACTCAAAAGTGCTTTTTTTTCTTCCTTACCTCCTCCGTTTTATCGTTATTGCCATGCACTCATGATTTTTCATAATCTGCATTTTCATCTGCTTGTCATGCACATCTCCTTTCCTAAGCAGGAATGTTATGAGCATGAGACTGCGTGGGACTGCATGACACCACTGCGACAGATCAATGGGTTTGGATGTGTGTGTGTGTGTGTGTGTATGTGTATGTGTGTGTGTGTGTGTGTGTGTGTGTGTGTGTGTGTGTGTGTGTGTGTGTGTGTGTCTGTATAAGTATGTGTGTATTTGTGTATGTATTTGTGCGCACGCGCGCGCGCGCGTGTGTGTATGCATGTGTGTGTGCGCGCATTTTTATCTCTGTGTGTGTGTAAGCATGTATGCATGCATGTATGTGCGTGTATGTGAGTGTGTGTGTATGAGTGCTCGCGCGTTCACATGTATTTGTTTGTGTCTACATATTGTTAAAAAAATGTTATATACTTCAATGTTGTATCCCCCATCCCACACAATATATATCCCTACCTGTATCTATGCTGAAAACCGACATACATAATGCATGAGACCGCTCAGCAAGTGCCAAGGTTTCCTCAGATTCCTCGACCTCCCTTGGCACTGTTTCAGGCACTGGCACTGTGATGCAACCTCTCCCTGTTTAAAACTATCAGCGTTCGAGAAAATTCGAGCAAACGCATGCAATAGAGAGAGAATTTTTTGTTAAAAAAGGACCGATGATAGAAAACGGGAATAATGGGTGAAGAGATAGAGAAAACGGGATATTTGAATGGCGTAAGACAGAAAATGGGGAAAATGGAACCGGGAAATAGAGATAAAAAAGGAATTTAAAAAGTTGGGAAAATTTGAAATAGATGGATGACAGTATTGAAAAAAACAGCAAAATATGGGTTAAAGCAACGAAAAAGAGAGAAAATAAACGAATACGAATAAACATATTCCTATATTCCCTATCCCAGGAAACGATGTTATTTATAGAACTGCAATAACAAAGAAAACACGGATTAAATAAACAAAAAATAGAGAAAAAAAACCTAATAAATAAGAATAAACAAAATACCACAGACCCCAGGAAACTCAATGTAAGAAAAAAAACTCACTTAAAACAAAACAAAAACAGTAAAAAACACAAACAAACACAAAAACAAGAAAATTACTCACGAATTCCCTCTCTTGGAAGTACCACCGATCACACGGAATGCTCTTACGGCCATCACCCAGTATCGAAAGGCCGAAATGTGAGCCTTATTGATCCCTCCCTCACAGCGAGACGCCGCGGAGACGCCCCAGTGAGCGGCCGAGAGCCAGGCGCTCCCGGCCAGGCCCTGGGGTGGTTGTGGTTGTTTGGGTGTTATTGGTGTGGTTGTTTGGTTGTTATTGGTTTGGTTGTTATTGGTGTGGTTGTTTGGTAGTTATTGGTGTGGTTGTTTGGTTGTTATTGGTGTGGTTGTTTGGTTGTTATTGGTGTGGTTGTTTGGTTATTGGTGTGGTTGTTTGGTTGTTATTGGTGTGGTTGTTATTGGTGTGGTTGTTTGGTTATTGGTGTGGTTGTTTGGTAGTTATTGGTGTGGTTGTGGTTGTTTGGTTGTTATTGGTGTGGTTGTGGTTGTTTGGTTGTTATTGTTGTGGTTGTGTTTGTTGCTGTGGTTGTTATTGTTGTGCTTGTTGTTGCTGTGGTTGTTATAGTTGTGGTTGTGTTTGTTGCTGTGGTTGTTATTGTTGTGTTTGTGGTTGATGTTACAGTGGTTACTTGGTTGTTATTATTGTAGTTGTGGTTGATGTTTTTACTGTAGCTATGGTTGATGTAATTGTGGTTGTGGTTGTTGCTGTGGTTGTTTGGTTGTTATTGTTGTTGTGGTTGATGTTACTGTGGTTACTTGTTTTTTATTGTTGTGGTTGATGTTGTACTGTGGTTGACGTAGCTGTGGTTATTTGGTTGTTATTTTTGTTGTTGTGGTTGATGTTGCTACTGTGGTTGATGTTGCTACTGTGGTTGATGTTGCTACTGTGGTTGATGTTGCTACTGTGGTTGATGTTGCTACTGTGGTTGATGTTGCTACTGTGGTTGATGTTGCTACTGTGGTTGATGTTGCTACTGTGGTTGATGTTGCTACTGTGGTTGATGTTGCTACTGTGGTTGATGTTGCTACTGTGGTTGATGTTGCTACTGTGGTTGATGTTGCTACTGTGGTTGATGTTGCTACTGTGGTTGATGTTGCTACTGTGGTTGATGTTGCTACTGTGGTTGATGTTGCTACTGTGGTTGATGTTGCTACTGTGGTTGATGTTGCTACTGTGGTTGATGTTGCTACTGTGGTTGATGTTGCTACTGTGGTTGATGTTGCTACTGTGGTTGATGTTGCTACTGTGGTTGATGTTGCTACTGTGGTTGATGTTGCTACTGTGGTTGATGTTGCTACTGTGGTTGATGTTGCTACTGTGGTTGATGTTGCTACTGTGGTTGATGTTGCTACTGTGGTTGATGTTGCTACTGTGGTTGATGTTGCTACTGTGGTTGATGTTGCTACTGTGGTTGATGTAGCTGCGGTTGTTATCCAAAATTTCGTCCGTCAT